AATCCTAAATTTCCCGGGGGAGCATTCCCCGGACCCCGGCCCTAGATTACGAGCGCCTTCGGCGCTCCCCTCTCAAAACCCATCGGTAAAACTGGGCAGACTCAAAAAATGCAAGCTGGCAGACGTCGACTCGGACACCCCGGTATTTGTGGACGCACTCGGGGACCAGGGCAGGTGGGAAACACAGGGAACACATACCTTTAATGCATGCTTCATTACATGTAAGGTATACGTAATTTTGTCAGTGATCACCTTTTCTCGAGCTCACAAAGCGAGATACCAAATCCAGTGCAGCTCGAAAAAAAGCCTGTCAATTTACCGTTAAGCGTTGCCGACCGTCCTGAATTTACCGTTAAGCGTTATCGGTCCTGCTGAATTTACCGTTAACCGTTGCCAGGACCCCCCCATGCAGACCCTCATATATATGCCATCGCATCGCTTTGCTTAGCAAAATTGCAAGTCAGTAAAAAATCATCTTGCTTTGAAAAGATGGGACAACTTTCGTGTAAATACCCAATGGTCTTATGTCTTAATACTCAAAGCATCATGGCGAAATCAGTACACAAACGCAAGATTTCATTGTGTTTTAAAAGCACAAATTACAAGTTTATTGTGTGCTTATGTCTGCAGTCGTAAAGTAAGGAACAAAATTAGTAATCATTGCACGTAGTAAAGCTGTAACAGTGGGTGTAACAGTGGGGGGGGGTTATAGGCGCTAACAACTGACCCGGCCGACGGGTCTTGACCTTTTCGGCCGAGTGGTTAGAGCGTCTGGTTATGAAGCTGGTGCTCGGGAGGTCGTGGGTTCGAACCCCGGCCCAGGACCAGAAGGGGTTTTACTGGCTTTACTGTTTCTTACAAAGCAAACTAACATTTCATTTGGTGGGAGGGGGTGAAACACAAGGAATGGTGTTCTCACCAAAGAACCAGTGCTCAGTCAAAAAAACTCACAACGGTGCAATGATCCATGACTGCAACACTACAGTTGCATTAGTATGTTACTAAAATTCTACAACATAAAAAAAACATGCACTTAAAGAGTAATTAATATGTAAATAAAAAGCGCCCAGCATTAACATAAGCCACCAATATTTTTCTAATCAGTCACTAGATATTTCAGTTATCATCACTTCTATTCAAATTCTTATTGAACAATAATTTGCTCCGTAAAAACTATATCTGAACACATGTTCAGTTAGTTGGAGGTACCCACTAAACATGAATTACTGCCTCACTGATACACTTAAATTGACTAATTCAGATTGACGTTACCTTGACAAAGACTGGAGTTGTACAGTCTAAAATTTGGATAAGTCCATTTTTTTGCTTTGGAAATTACAGTTAAATCTTGCTCATAATGACTGCTACCAGCACAGATGAACTTTCAAGATAATAATAATAATAATATCTGAACACTTCTCTAGTTAGCTGGATCTGAAGTGCCCACTAAACAAGTGTTTTCCTCACTGATACATACAAATTGACTCATTCTGGGGAGCCTGCAGGGGGGGGGGGGTCCTGACAAAGCTCTACGCTGAATTCGGAAACTTCTCGACTATGCCTTACGATAAATTCCAAGTGGCTACAACGCATTACGTAGAATTAAAACGGCAAATACGCTCTACGCAAAATACGCCACTTACGCTCTGCGTTGAATTAGAGCGGTCCGTCTACGCTCTACATAGAAGAATTCAAACGGCCGCTCTAAAAAGAGCATGCGGGCCCCCGTCATGGTCTGATTTTCATAGACACAGACTTGAGAGAGTAATTCTTTCCTTTCCAGGTCTTCCACGCCACCCCCTCAAAGGCTTCACAGGAGTTCCCACAGTTGCCCAGGTAGCGACCGTTGAGGAAGGAGTGGCTGCAGTTCTCAAACCACCATCCGGCCTGTCCGTTCAGCTGAGAACACTGGCCGTGCTCCCAGGCGTCGTTGTCCCTGTCCACAGTGGAGAACATCTGCCCGTTGTTGGGATAGTAGTTAGTCATGGAGTCTCCCGCGTCGCCTGAATACCCGGAAATGGTCAGCCGGTACCGGTCCGACTCACCGGCCACCCTGGATGGGAACAGCAAAATCATCACCACATGACGCATGAACGACAGGCTCTGATGCTGACATGTCTGTTAATTAACATATTAACGGACTGGTATATGGACTTTGAGTATGGATACTAGCTTTGTATTTGATGACATGTTTGTTTGTCCTGTTGGTACTTCTGTATATTGGTTTGTTCCTTGTATCATATGTGTGTTTTATATACTATGTGTCCAGGGCCCTAGCTACTGCAAAGCAGTGCTAAGCCACTGAGAGGGCCACCCTGGCTAAGGAAAACAGAACAAAAACTAGAATTCGTTGGTCTGATACCTCCATGAAGTACTTAGAGCTTTTGTAAATTTGGTGTGTTATTTTTTTAGTTGTGTTGTTTTGCCTTTTTGATGGTGAAAATGTACTTTAATTTGGTATAATCTATTTTGATTAATGGTCTTCTCTAATAAAATCATGCAAATGCAAATGACAAAATTCACCTGCAGTTATGCATAGTAACTTTAGACAGAAGGACTAGTAGTTTCTATGATAGACCTTTCTGAACATTTTCTATATTTTCGGATTCTAAGTGACTTCTTAACTATGTTTTTTGTTTGCTCAGAAGTCTCACTAGAAGGAGGAGCCAGCTGCCGCCGCGCCGCGTGCCTGCGAAGCTGGTGTGTTACGCCGAAAGGCGGTTATACCGGCTATACAGATACAGATACAGAGTACCAACCTGAATGTGTTGTATTCCGCGTAGCGCGTCTCTCTATCCCAGTCCATCAGCTCAATGCGGAGCCGATAGTTCTTCCGATTGGTCAGGCGGTGGATGTTCTCGTTCCCAAGCCAGTATTCCCCGTTCTTGTTCCCAAACCCGTGCTTGTACTCCTCCCAGTTCTTGGTGAAGGGAACCGACCCGTCCAGTCGACGCTGGATCACGGTCCATCCGCCCTGTCCTGTGCGGAAAAAAACAACTAATCATTACTTTGTAGGCAATGAAAGAAGAGCTTTTACATGATAACAACACAGAAGGAGTTTTTCAGAAGCAGGTTGATGAAATAGACCAACCCGGGATGCTCATTAAAATAAGAGAGAAACACACGGTGAACCTTCTCCTCCATTGTTTAAACTGCCCAAACTAACAGTTAGCACAGTGACCAGTAGAGAGACATTCTCAAGTTCCTGTAGCGGTCAATCAGCTGGACCACTAGGAGGGCGACAGGGCAATTAACTACTTGGCAACAATATTTTTAATTAGGAAAAAACTAGGTGTTAATAGCCTTTCTTCAATTGCAAGCCGAGTGCTCGCAGATGTTGGGTGGCAAATGGATACAGTCTGGCCAGTGGATACTGCCTGGCCAATTTGATACTGTCTTTTGTGGGCACCTAAACATCTGCTTGGAGATTAGGGCATTGGAGTGGGGCCAGTGTGTACAGCATACTTGTGTGATGCCGTTTGAGTCAACTTGGGGAACTAAAGCCTAAACCTGCTGCCTAACCCCATATCAAGTAGAGAATTGTTAGCCAACAACATTAGTGTGCTAAAGGTTAACTTCTGTTTATATTACGGATCTATAAATGTGCCTCAAAATAATATCTACCGTCTGTATCCATGTCACAGTAGACCGTTACGCCGGACAGGGGTGAGCCAAGTTTGTAGACTCCACTGGTCGTGTACCCGGCGGCTTTATATGCAGCGCAGTCTGGCTCTGGGAAACGGTAAGTAGCACATGGCAGAGTCAATGTAACAATTGTTATAGACAGGTTAAGTCTAGTATGTGTGTGTGTGTGTGTGTGTGTGTGTGTATGTGTGTGTGTATTGTACTGTGCTGTGTGTATGTGTGTGTGTGTGTGTGTGTGTGTGTGTGTGTGTGTGTGTGTGTGTGTGTGTGTGTATGCGTGTGTGTATGCGTGTGTGTGCAGTGTATATTAGCGAGTTTTGTGTGTTGTTTGTCCGGCTTCGACCTGGACAATTTTACCCTATCCTGCTCAGGAACGAAGAGGTGCTCACCCAAGTGCTGTATTTTTACATCGTGTAGCCTCTACCAGGCTTCGGGAGGAGGTTGGAAAGTAGAAATCGGCCAAATGCAGAGCCTAACATGCCTGGGAAGTTTGTCCCATGGCATGTTATCTCTCCATTTGGCCAATTTCTACTCTTTCCAGCCGCCTTCCGAAGCCCGGTAGAGGCTTACCTCGTGCATCTCCATATGGCCCAGCGGTAGTGATGAGAGTCGCCGGCGGTGTGACTTGTGCGCGTCTCGGGGCTGCTGTAGTTTCTGCACCACGGGGGGAAGTCCCCACCCCAGGGGAAAGAGTCCCCACTCCTGAGGCACGCCAGGAGAGAGTCGGCCTCTCATGATCACTGCATCGCAGGTGTGCCAGGCAGAAATCAGTTCCTGAAATAATGAATGAAGACCCGTGAGTAGTTTCATCAGGTTGGTAAGACACTGAGTAAAGAGCAATGTGAACCAGTCAGAATTGCCCTGAGGAGGGTGACAGACGGTCACCGAAATGTCTCTGTATCTGTATCTGTATAGCCGGTATAACCGCCTTTCGGCGTAACACATCAGCTTCGCAGGCACGCGGCGCGGCGACAGCTGGCTATATTACACCGATCGACCGATCGATCACCGATGTCGGCTGAATAATTAGAGACTTGATTGGGTAAAAAAAGAGTCTCTTTACTCAATGAATGAAGACCTTTATAATATTGTACGTTTGTGCCCCACTGGGCTAAGCATAAGTCACATATGAACAAAGTATATAAATGTAATTATTACATAGCAAGAAGAAGTTGACCAATCAGAAGGCTCCATTTTCCATGGGTTATCAGGCCGTAACCTCAAAATTGGTCGGTTATTAGAATAACCCACCACTTCTGGGACCGTACCATTATACCACAGGGACAGGGCACTAACAGAAGTGTTAGGAATTCTTTGTAAAACTCCTATCATAAAGTAATTGAGAAATGGTACAAAGTTAAAACCCTTGTCCTGCTGAGCGCAACAATTGTCGTTCTGCACATACAGTACTATATATATAGCACCCTGTGTAGGTACGATTTGGGGGTATTTCTCGTGCAGCGCATCACACTGCAGCGAAACGCAACAAATGCGGAACTAACTATGCCACTGCTGGGCAAAAAAATTGGGGGTCTATGATCTAATTAAGACATGAATTTATTGCAAAATATTGTGCCAGGAATGTCATCAGGACAAGGGTTAAGGTTCAAGATTTGTACTCTGTGTTGGTAGGTCAAACTACTTACGTTCCAGCTCGTCCAGTCGTATTGAAAGCTTGGCCAGTCGTACGGAAATCTTGGTTTGTCGTGCTGAATGTCGGGATAGTCGTACTGAATGCTCCATCACCTCCCGAGACAGGCTGTGCAGGTTAACTTTAGCAAAAAAAAAAGAGAAGGAAAATCGAGGTTTGTTTTTTGTTTGTTTCGCATAACCGGTAAACCGTGTTTAGGCATAACACACCAGTTTTGTACATGTAAGTACAAGCTGCCGCTGGACTGTAAGGTTTGAAAAACTCACACTGGGAACGTCCCCTACTCTTTTCGATAAGTGTGGTGGGTTCTTTAACGTGCGTGGGGGGGGGGGCTCTCCACAAACAAGGGACCTCCATTTAACTTTAACGTCATATCCGAGGGACGTGCCTAACCGAAGCTAGGTACTCAATTTCCACCTGAGTGAAATGAGGAAAGTCGTGTAAAGTGCCTTTCCCAAGGGCACAAGATCGGTAACATGGGCAGGATTCGAACTCGTGACCTCTTGGTGTGAGCCGAACGCGCTACCGACTGCGCCACACGACCCCACAAGGTTGCCCATTCAATGGTAACACTGCTTTACAGTGGGGCCCTGCGTCATGCATACATAAACAAATCAAATGCATAAATCCTTCAATCACATATCATTAACACAAAAAACAATAAAATAAAGATACAATAAATAAATAAATGGTAAAAACTGACCCGTCATCAAGGGAAGTGCGACGGCCATGACCAGGAATACCAGCCCGCCGACGATCAGCCAGAACTTCTTGCACCAGCCGGAACAACTGGTCTTCTTGGAAGTGGTCTTGTCATTGGTTGCTGTTAGACCAAACAGAAACTAGAAAGGTGACGTTTCCTAAGCAAATGCAAAATGTTTACCTGCACACATGGTCTACTCTGTTAATTCTCACTCAAATGCATTCATACATATCGTCAGACAGGATTCTAAATCCCTCCTACTGTAAGATTGCAACATTATGTAACCCAACACCAGTTCCAATGGTGACAGACGTCAACAAATCAGGCCATTGGCTAGGTCAGAGGTTAGTGTTTGGAACAGAAGAGGAAACTGAGCAAAAACAATATGTTTTCCTTCGGTAAACATAACAAGTATATTTGAATGTGTTTATCACAAACATAATACAATATTTTGGTATTTGTAACATAGTGTAAGAACTCAGCAACTGGTCTGACGATATGTATGAATGCATTTGAGTGAGAATTAACAGAGTAGACCATGTGTGCAGGTAAACATTTTGCATTTGCTTTGGAAATCTCACCAGAAAAGAGAAAAGAAAAGAGCGGCCAGATTTGTTTCTAATAACTATGATACTTATGCCAGCACTACCAAATTGGTCACAGATTTAGGGTGGAACACATTAAAGGACAGACGCACAGCAAGTAGACTCACATTACTTCAGAAAGCAAGACACTCAAAAACAGCCCTTCCGGTCAAAACCTTGTTGACGCCTATCCCGCGCCAATCGCGACACTTCAACTCCAACTCATACAAACCTCTAACGTTTCATAAAGACTGCTACAAATATTCATATTTTCCACAAACTGTCAGAGATTGGAACATCTTGCCCCAAGAGATAACTGATACTGCGGAACCCACGAAGTTCAACGCTGCAGTTCTTCAACACCTAAAGAAGCAGCAATAGCGCATCGCACAGCTCCCCTGCACGCTTTACCCCAATCTAGGGGTGTTGTGCAGAACCCGTACAAGACAAGACAAGACAAGCAACAGTTCCTATAAAGCTACACCGACTTGAATGTATGGATGACATCCGCGCGCACATTGATTTTCACCTGTTCTCTCTAAAAAAAAAAGATCACGTCCTCCGAGGTCCTAGGCCTGGGTAGTCCATGGTAGTTAGCGACAATACGGAGCCGGCTGTAACTCTGGAGGATGGCACCCAGGCTGCCGAAGCTCCACGACTCAAGAACTCGGTATATACGTACCGTGCCGATTCATAAACTCCGCAAAAACCACATTACCTGAGCTTTGTATTCCTGTGGTTTAGCCGCATTTTTATTTCTGGCCGGAGTTTTTTTATTCGCCCGCGCGCACTAGTTTGGGGGTCTTCAGAGGATGTCATCCATAAAAATTAAGACGGTGTGGCCTAACTAGAAATCGTTTTACCTGCTCCAGAGTTGTACATCACATTTCGTATGTTCGCGGCGGCGTCCGCAAGTGGCCTCCAATCAGTCTGGTCTCGCTGCTGGGGAGTGGCGTCTGGTGGAAAATAACAAAATAGCTAGAACCATTCATCAAAATTGCTGGTTGCGCGAAAAAAAAAACCACCAAAATGCAGAGAGTTGAAAATTCTGCTTTCGATGGTACTGATGAACCCTAGCACACCCTATCTACTAGTATTTCAATATTGGATATGACTTGGCCTGGAAACCATTTATGCGTCAGTCATGTTGTGAGGCGACCCTCTTCAAGAAGACCACCTGTACAAGGTGGCCACGCTTCTTTGATCCCCTGGGTGGCCGGCTTGGACAGGTTTGACTGTATATTGTAACAATGCTTTTTTTTTGTAATTTAAACACCCGAGCAGCTGCCGCAAGACCAGACTGATTGGCGGTTACTCGCGGTCGCCGCCGCGACTTACACTCCAAGCAGAGGTTTAAATTTGCATTTGGGGTTGTTTTTGGCGTGTTTATAGGCTTTTTTAAAATCCGGGTTTCTCTTTTGTTCCCACCCAACCCAAAAAATTCCAGTGCAAAAAAGAAACCCCGATAAAAAAAGTCTAAAAACACGCCCAAAATAACCCCAAACCCAAACCTCTGCTAGGAGAGTAGCCGAGAGTATATCAAACGCAATGTACGTCTCTGGAACAAGTAAAACAGTCTCATATGGCGGTTTATAGTTTCACACGCTTATCGCAGATAGAGAGTCTGAGCCAATTTGGATCATGGACCCCCATATTTTTTTTATTCATTTCAACATGCAAACAATACAATACATAGTGGTGACGCACTCAAGCAATATGCTTATATTCACGTCACCACTAGACATAACATGGGTAACGTCCAGCTAACATTATTAACATATTATAAATTGATACAGAACTATAAATCAGTTATTAAATCGCTTAGTTTCAGAAAGATATAGCTGTGTAATAGTGAGTATTTGAGAGTTGACTTTAGATGAAAGTAAAGGTGATCCATTGAGTAACAAATACACAATTATTAACACTATCGGATAGGTTGTTAATGTCTAAGAATAGGATGCTCAATTGTAAAAGTCTGACCCCCATCTTCCGATCTCTTCTTGGTTTTCTCATGCAATGACTCTTAAAAGACACCGAAACAAGATCATGCCCGTAGCCAGGATGTTGAATGGGGGGTTCTTCCCACTGCTTGAGGGGACTAGCGAGCGCCGAAGGCGCGAGGTTCCTAGGGAGGTCTGGGGGGTATGTTCCACCGGAAAATTGTGAAAAATGAACCTTCTGAAATGGCATTTCCTGCGTTTTTGAGAGAATTTCGAAGAAAAAATCACAGATAACTTTTTATTCAATGACAAAGTAGGTAGTTTTTTTAATACGATTCCAGCCCTGCTGGTGATACGAATCAGTCCATCTAAAGAAAAATCTTGGACCTTTAGATAAAAAATGGACCCAAAAGTGAACCTTTGAGCATTGTGGGGGTTTCTTTCGAAGCCCCCCCCCCCGTGGCTA